CAACTGAGTTTACCCTGCTGTATAACCTCTCACTCTGTTTTTGTTAATCTACAAATAAACCAGTTAACTTTTACCCTTGGTTTTCTGAGTGTGTCTATGCATGTGGGTTAGAACTTTAAAGCCCATCATGACATTTGGATGTTCTTGGTCTGCAGTTGCTACTAAATATAAATGGAAAAAACAGTACTGGTTCCATGGGCTACCAAGGTGGTACTTATCTGAGCTAACAATATAATAGCTTCAATAATAGCTTCAACTATTAAATAATTTGATGCTTGCTCTAACGGTCTAAAGGTGGGAAATACGTGATATCTGGCAGTATTTCTTTTATTTTTTTTATTTTTTAACAGTGTCCTGTCTGGAAATGTGGCAATAAGAATAGTTGTCTTGATGCCAAAAGGAGCCCAACAGATTTTACTTTCACAAATGGAGCAGTACGGCTATTGCCATACTGTTCCGCTTGTTTTATGCTTATAAATATCATCATTATAATTATGCAGGGAGTTTTACAGATTATATGGACATTGTAATGTAAGTAGAACAGGAAAGGAAAAATAGGGGAAAAAAAGGAGAAAAGGGAGATAATGATAAAACATTTTCAGTCAGCTTCATCACCTGCAAAGAGATGTGAAAAGAACAGCACAACCAACGGACATGGTATACGATATACAATAAAGTAACACCTAGATACTATTGCTGAAGTATAAGTAGTATTATTTAATCTGACATGTATTCTGTGTTACCTGAAGATAAGAATATGGGCTTTCTGTATGGAAGTGAATCTCTAAGTACCTGGAACCAAGCACCTGTAGTTGTTTGTAAGAGTGCAATTGTGCATGTATGATGATTCTGTGGCCCTCTCTTTCTTCTAAATCTCCCCAGAACTTATTTTGGGGTTGCAAGGCATCATGGTCACATTGAAATTTATTAATTTTAATCAAAAATCTGGCTGACTTAGTCGGGAAACAGAAAAAAGCCCTTCAATCGGTCTTGTAGCAGGATAAGGATGCAAGAAATTGTTTACATAAGGTTGCTGGGCTTTTAAAATTTACATCAAAAAGTCATCCCACAACATTTCTCTACTTTCAAGCTCAAATTATAATTTTGTCAACTACTGATTGCAAATAGAATGTTTAGATTAAACAAAATAAATATCATAAGGATAAAAGTTGCATCAGGCTCACTCTTCTCCAGTATTTGGGTAGTTATTTCAATTCTGTCCTTTGTTGCTCTCGGTACCAAAACTCACTGCTTAAATTCACAGCACACAGGCTAGCAGCAATTTAAAGTGGTATGAGCGCCATCAGCCATGCAGATAAGTCCCGCTTCCTTTACCTTAATTAGAGCTCCCAGGGGAGCGGGTCTGAGCTTCGAAAGCTTCGGTCCCACATACCACAGAGAAGCCTTTCATTAAGGCCGGCAACACCAGGAGTAAAACTGACATCAGCACAGTAGCTCAGGGATTTCATAGAAGAAAATTTTGAAAGTGTCATTATGGGGGAAATATCCCTGGGTGTTTTTGATCATGCAGGCAGTTAAACTCAGCAGGCAGAAATGTGCCATTTGATTGCAAGGGAAACTTCAATTCCAGAGAGAGAAGTGAGATAAAGAAGAATGGGTCAAAAATGGCCTTAAATTGCATATACAACAGCACGGGCTATGAATTTATTATTCTATTGTTCTTGATTAATCATTAAAAAAAAAAAGATATATATATATATATATATATATA